TGATGATCCAATAAAAAACAAGGTTGAAAACTCTTATTTTTTAATGCACACTGAATTTTATACTGTCGTGTAACAGTAATAATCCTCATGAAAAACCCTGGAGTTAAAGGAATTGTTGCTCCCCCTTTTTTTTCCTCAATCCCAAGATGAAGATGTTGTAGTATGATAATACCTTGAATAACCTTTGTATAATATCCCTGAAGAGTAACTGAGACTTCAGGGTAATAAAGAATGATGTAAGCCAAAAAGTTGTGCAAACAGGCAGAATTTGACTTGCGAAATGAGCATGAACAGCAACAACAGGTAAACATAAACTGCTTTGGAATAAACTGCTTTGGAGTTGGAAGGAGTTTGAAGAATGGATGTATGGATTTCCAACACCTCCACATGAATTTACTGTGTATCAGCACATTCAAGATTAAGTTGTGGGGATAATTATCATAGACACAGATTCCATTAAGGTTTTAACAGTAGTTTTCCAAGACTTTAAAGTCCTGGAAAAAAAATAGTGCCTCACAGTTTAAAGGGTTTGCATCTTGTGATTATTAACTTGAAACAGGGTAACTGAATTTTGCATAGCATTATTTTTTAGTATCAGGATGTTGTGAAGTAATAGGTCTTTCATAAAAACAGTGTAATGACTTTCCCTTTCCAATACTTCTCAGTCTGAGAATTTTTTTCAATTTGCCTTTTCTGTTAATTCAATTACATTAAATCAAGTGAATTAAACTATGTTACAAATATTGGCAGTTCAGTATAGTGTATCAGTATAGTAAAATATTGGTTGAACACAATACTCTAAATAAATCTAGACTTTTTTTTTGTTTGTTTGTTTATTTTGTACAACTCTCACTGATCTGTCCAAGAGTCAGCTCTTACTTTCATACCCTTTTTCTCCCACTCTAGCAACAGAAGTCACTTAAATGACACAGTCACCACTTTTGGTCAAGGCACACCAAATGCAGACAACACAGCTCATGTTATAGTTGGGCTTCTGATGTTTCCAATTTACTGGAAATCTTCTTCTCAAAGAGATAAGCATTTCAGGATCATCTCTGATTTTAAAAGCTGTAACTGTCCCTTTTTAAAATAGGAGATTTAACATGTCTTTTGCAAATTCTACAAACAATGTACTGGGAACCACTTATTTGTTCACCTGACAAATCATCTACTTGACACATTTGCAGTCTAGTTTGTTACTTAAGAATATGAACAAAGAAAATTTTCTGCCACCTAAAGGTCACACTTTAGCTCCAGACACAAAGAGTCCATGGTCCTTAAAGAGCTACCAGAGGTAAGTACTAACCACCTCCCTGATGGAAGTGAAGTGGTGAAAGGGGAGGAAGGGGCAAAAAGGAGGACTTCTCCCTGTAAAGAAGGTACAGAAGTGTCGTATGGGAATTAGCAGAACTGGAGCTGGCAGTCATAAAAAGTAACAGAATAAAGGCAACCACTTAGGAGCAGTGAGGAAACAGAAAGCAAGGGCTAGATCAGGTAAGTACTTACTGTATACTAATAAACTAGAGGCCAGAAAAATTACTTGAGGTTGGAGAAAAATTAAGAGCAGAAAAATGCTGAAGCAAAAAATAACAAGTAAGTATTGTTCAGGGAACAAGTGGCATCTTAGATTAATGAATGATTCAAAGCTTCATGGTTCGTTTATCCAGGTCCAAAAATGCATGTGGTAAAGAAGGAAATCCAGACCATTACTGTGGTTTTTAGATTATTGGATCATCACATTTTGAGGAATTGAGGCAAACTATTTTTTAAATTCAATTTCAGAGGATAAAAAATATTTAGATTCAGCATGACATTCTATAATTAGTTGGCAGATAGAACGACCTACAGTTCTTCTTCAAGATCTTAATGTGCTTTTACTTTTTAAAATCAAAACACAACACCCCCAATACATACACACACACCCCACAACCTTCTTGCATCACTTCTGAAAAGCACATTTGCAGTTTATCAGTAGTTTCATTTGTTAAGATCAAGTGAGGTGAAAGGCACCAATAGAACATTCTTTAAAGTGAACCAGACTAGTAGCTTATCTTAGGTAAACAACTGTCACACGGGAGAACAAACAACTTATATTTGTAAGGCCAGCATGTGGACATACCACAAAAAAGATTGAAAAAACCCTCGATAAAACTATGCAAATAACTTTGTCCTTGTGTACCCTCTAGTGGCTGCCCAGGCTGTGCTGGCCCCACAGTAACTAAGCAGGAAATTTCCTCAACCAGACAAAGTAAGAGTGCTTCCCTCTGTAACAGCTCTTCTAAATAGATGAAGATTCATGAGATTAGGGTTCTGAGCAGGCAAAAGTATGGATTATTTGGAATTTTAAGTTTACAACAAATTCTGCCTTGTTAGTTTACTTAAGTGAACCCAAGTTTTCCACTGATACATCAAGCAGATGATACATCACGCAGCAAGATACATCAAGCAGCAAGATACATCAAGCTATTCACATAGCAATCATTCAGGGCACCTACCTGCATAACTGTGGAATATGTGCATGCTGCACACAAACTGCAGCAACGTCAGTAAATTAAACTGGGTATTTCTCTTCCAGAAGTCCTCTGAAGTGGCAAAAAAATCCAGTACACAAGTTGCAGACATTAGCTAAGAGCCATTTCTGTATGGAATGACAGTTCAAATTGAAAAAACCTGCTTTAAACTAGAACTGGCTGTTTCAGCTGTATGTGCTGAACTGGATTATGTCAGAGAGAAAAACTGTCATCCAGCATAAGAACATTCTGCAAGCATACAACTAATGTTTAATTTGTTTCATCTTAAACAAACATAAAAGACTGTACAACAGACATTTCAAGTAACTCCACTAAAAATCTCCACCCCTCACACCCAAACTCCCAATACATAAAAGCAAAGGTCAGCACCCTACTCAAGGTACCAAGTTCTCTCCATAATGAAAAAAAACTCTACTCAATCCTCACTGCTATGATTTGGTAAAAGAATATAAACTGCATTCTACACAGCTAGTGAAACATGAAAATTAACAACAGTCAAAAAGAGAATATACAGACTTTTTAGCACCTCATATCTACTTCTTCATGAAGTCTAGATGCTACAGCTAGTCACATCATTCAATTAAAGATGCAAGTCATTAAATAGCATCAGCAGAAACACCTTAAAAGCTGCTAAGTGTTGACCCTTCAAAAAAATCACTACAAAATTTGTGCACGAGGGAAGTATTCTGAGACTTCTGATACTGTGCCATTATAAACGAGGCACTCACATTGCCAACATAATGAAGGCAAAGGGTAATTAGACTATATACCCATTCCTATATATTACACAAAAAAAATCAAAATACTGTCTTGAAATGATATGAGATAAAGCACATTCAAGATGAAAATTTCAAAAAGGACACAACACACAACACCTCAGAAGTAAATGGAATCCCAGGCTACATGTACAACAGACATTACTTTTAATAAAAAGGTTCTCATATCTTCAGTACAGCATATAATCAGTGCTGTCCAGTCAGTCCTGCAGACAACTGAAATAGTTTCCCTTCAGATACAGCAATTAAGTAGCCAGCAGCGAAAGTGCTGGCTCTACCCTGCATGGCAAATACAGGTGTTTTTCCTGCACCCCAAAGGTACATCCGAAAAAAAGCCTGATCATATAGCATAGCCAGCTCTTTGTGTATGCTATTCACCTGCATCATATGTTCATAGGCAGCAATGCAAAAATCCCTCTTTCTGTGTATTTATAACTTGAATTTAAGTTAGTCCTTTCTCCATTTTTGAGGAGAACACCTGACCAACTGTGTTGCCAGTCATTCATCCCCAAGCCTGAGTTTTGCAATAATGCAGTACCAGCTTGCCATCACTTCCAAAACACTGCAAGAAAAACAAAAAACAAAAGCTGTTAAAATTATTCATTGGCTAGCATATACGTGAAGCAAAACAAAAAGTCTTCCCATCAGATAAATGTGTCACGGAATATTGCCATGAGAAAGCTCCCCATTAAAATGAGAGGCGTGACAACACACTGAAAATAAAGGGATGCATTTCCAAAGGCTGTGTGAACTCTTTGGATCACATTCATACAGATCTGTGAATATCAACTACACTGCAGTAAATGCAAACTATTAATGCTAGGAGAAGTAACAGAGTTCAAGTGCCTGAGGTGTGCTGGAAAATCCTGCTAAATACATTTGGAAAGGATATTTAAGATGAAAGTTACCTCATAGAGGGTCCCCACTTCTTGGTCTGGAGATGGAGCAAAAGACTGATTAACATATATGAACTGCAAGAAAATGAGAGAGGAGATGGAGATCTCACTGGAAACACAGAAGAAACATTCTGCAGTCAAAAGTTCTATTATAATCTTTAAGCATATAACAGAATACAACCAGCTACTACCACCTCCACTTCAGAATGGAGGGGCAACATGACCACGAGGAGTCACCTGTCACTCTGTCTGGCCAGCCAGACCAAACCAAAGTAAGCGTGCTGACTTCCTTTTCCTGCAAGCTGACCTGTTATTCTCCCATACAGCAGCACAAAGTGAACTCACTGGTTTAGCTCTTGCTCTTATTTCACTCTAACCACTCACAGTATTCCAGATTTGCTCAGTTATGGCCATCACAGAAATTAGAAACATCTTGTTCTATTTTGAAGTCATCCTTCTCACTTCTTGCTCCAAAAAATGCAATTACACACATAATATCTAATCCACAAAGACAAAGAGGTCCTTGGGATCTGCCATGTGAGGCAGCAGTGGGTACTGAGGTACCACATGCTATTTCCAAATAAAAGATATAAAATTCCTAGGTCTTTGTTCTTGAAGTCTAGCCTTAGGCTTCAGCCACACTGGAAGGCTATGTGCTCCCATTTTTTTTTGTCCAGAGATAATCATATGATTGTCACTAAATCAAAATGTTGAGAATGTCCTTAGTTAATATCAGACTTACCAATCTTCTTTGAGATATTAAACCACGCAAAAGCAGACCCTTCATGATTTCCAGGTGAATGAGAAGGCCAGTGCATTTATGCCTATATATTTAAATAAGATCCTCCAAACCAAGAACAGAATGGATTCAGCTACAATTTAGTTGACTACTCTAATGAGTATTGCTTTAACTGTGTATCTTAAATAAAAATTTTGGATGTTGTAAAACAATGGATGTTGAGAGTTCACTGCAGAGCAACAAAATCAGTGCAATTGTATTTCTAGCTCTGCCAGTGTTATCACGAGGCCACTTTGGCTAGTCACTTCCGCAGGAAGGAACCCATAAATAACATCAGCAATCTGCTCCCCAAGGGCAAACACTTCCCAACTACCCATTTTAAAAGTAAAATCAGTTCTATGACAGTAATTAAATTACTTTAGATGTGAGCTCTAAAGGAAACAGACACTCAGATTCAGAAAGCAGATCCCAAAAATTCTGGTCTGTTTTTCAAATACTAGGGTTCCATACCCAGTTCCTCCAGGTAGCTAGTGGCTAGGAATGTTTCCTTTTGGCTGCCCAGGGTGCCCACAGCTCTGCCTGGCAGAGAAATATAGAAAGAAATACAGACACTGCAGAAATTCCAAAGATCAGTGCCGAGCACACCGCTCTGCTACAGCTCGCTCAATATCACATCCTGAGGTCCACTTGGAATAGTTCTCTCCAAGTTTCATACAGGCAGCTGTAGCTTTGCAGGGTTGACAGCGGGGACCCAGCCCGCAGCCCCCCGCCCGGTGCTCGCCCGTACCAGCTGTTCGGAGGCCATCAGCTTGAGGAACTTCTTGATGAAGTCCACGAGGCCCTGGATGGTCCGGGTCCGCTCCACCGCCCATTTCTTGGTCCTCATGATGGGGGTGTCGCCCACAGCCTTCAGCAGCACATCAACTGCGGGAAACAGCGTGTCACAGAGGGCCCGCCCCCCGTCGCTCATTGGCCCACACCGTCCGTCCCCGCCGCCCATTGGCCGCCTCGCCTGCTCGTCACCACGCCCGCCCCCACGGGCCTGCGGAGGCCTCTCGTCCCATTACTTTT